TTAAGAAACAATCAAAACTTCTATAAAATCACATATTCATCAAATTAAATGGACGATTGAGATTTGATTATATTAGTTGTACAAATGTAAAAGGTTGTATAATAACCAATCTCTCTCTCTCTCTCTCTCTATATATATATATATATATATATATGTAGAGAAAGAGAGAGTTAAAAGCATTTGTTAACCATGAAAAAAATTATTAACTATACAAATCATTTAGACCAATCATAAATCTTTGTTAAATTAGGTTTTTCTATCATCATACAGTTAATATTGAGGACACAATGATAATCTTCTTTTTTTGTCTTAACTTCACATTCATTAGTGGGCGGTTACAAAAACCCCATAATTATAGCTAAATAATATGTTTATTTTTTTTTTCAAATTATAGATGACTTGTTATTTAATATGATAAGAAACTTTGATGCTCTATCTTCAACATATATGTAGTCGCCAATGTTCATAGGTGTATATATTGTTCACATGTATTCCAGTCTGTTCATAAAACATTATCTATAGACATCTAACATTTGGTCAACACGTGTTCACAAGCGAAACACTTTGATCATATATTATTGTATTTACATGTGAAAGCCAATTACTTTAGTGTTCATAAGTTTTAATAGGTGCAAACAAGTGTTCATAAGTGTTCTCATATGTTCACTAAAATTAGTTAATAAGTTACATATATGTTCATATTTATTCATAAGTGTTTATAATGCAACATGAATGATTCTAAGAACTATAAAAGGAATGGGCAATTATCGCTTTGTAACTGATGTAATTAGTTATTATTGATCTGTAACCGATTTAGACATCTTTTCCAAAAATATCCCTGTTCACCTATGTTTTGATATCCTTCATTTTTAATTAATTATAAATATGTCACAATTGATCTCATCCATAGATTTCAAGAATTAAGAACCAAGATTGGTTTACAGAGTTAACCACTAATTATTGGGCTAACAAAAGAATATGCCCCATATATATATATATATATATATATATATATATACACACACACACACACACACACACATATATATATATATATATATAACAAAATTTAATATAAAAATTCGTTATTAAAAAGAATACCTTTAGACCCCCGGTGGCAATCTTAAAACAAGTTAGGTGATAAAAGTCGATTGTACTACGAGAAAAATAATTTCAACTATCATAAAAGAATAGATTAATTTAGCCTTGCATTATCAAATAAGAATAGATTAATAGGTTTGATCCGGTGTATCTTAGTGCATCTTATTTCGATGCATCTAAAGATGAAGATTATTTCTTATGTTTCTCGCCTTAACTTTTTTTTTTTTTTTTTATCGAAACCCAACCTTAAATTAATACCATTATTGTTTTTACCTGTGGTTTAGAACATCCCAAAGCCATGTCAACTTTGATGGCGTTTCTCTCCCTAATAATTTATTAGATGCAATTCTTGTTTTATTGTTTTCTATTGTTCTTTTCCGTTGTTTTCAATCTAATTTTATCAACATTACATGGTCTGTTTGTCTCAGGCTGAGAAATAAAAATGACTGAGAATGAAAATGAGAATGACTTTTTATTCCTGCAATTTAACCAAGAATAAAATTTTGGACATATGGGAGAAAGATCATATTATATTATAAAAAACCAAACAATTTCTTTTATTTTCATTCTTATTGATTTATATAGAATTTCCATTGCAATTGTTATTAAGATATCTATATATGTGTTATTCAAAAGGTTCATTTATGCATATTCATATACATTTGGTGTTATATGTGTATTCAAAATGGAATAAGTGGATTTATAGAGATTCCAATGGGATTGATTATCAAGCTTTGATTAAGGTTGTTTATCAAATCGTACAAACAACCCATACAACACCAAACGGTTCAGAACTTTTGCATTACGATACAGTTTACTGGTTGTGTTTTTATTAAACCGCACTATGTAATGAGGTTTTGTGGTTTGGAATTAAGAAACCATGGTTCGAGCTGCACTCTACAATGCGCAACTGCGTTATGCACGTACACACATATATAATGTAATTATAAATATATAATAATGAAATTTATAAATAACCGGAGATAAAATGATATGGTTCACAAAAACCAACTTGGTTTGCAAAATTGACTTTATGATTTTACGTGGAATTTGATCGGGTAAAAGACAAAAAAATCGACCAAACAAAATTCAACACAAAATATATTTTGGTAAAGGAAAATTATAATTATAATTAAAAATAAATAATAATAATAATAATAATAATAAAACAAAAGGCAAAAAACAAGACGCTTACTATATTGCTCGTGCTCTCCGTATTGGAACTGAAATCTAGAGGAGAAAAATCAGAATCGGAGTCAATCAAGATCATCATCTTGACACATTTGCAAATCAATAAAAAGGGCCAAACATTTCTTTCTCGATTCTTCTTCATCTTTTCAAACCCCTTTCTCCAGGATTTCACCCAACTTAACTAATTTTGGTAATCTCTTTTTCTTTTTCTTCTTCAAATCAGCATCATTTTCATTGATCATGATTACCCTCGTCTCTAATACTGTTAATGGTATGATTTTGCAGCTGTTGGTTCTGATTTGCCTATCTACCAAATTCATACCAACATGGCGGATATTCCCACTTCAGGTTCTTACCCTGTCTTCCTTTTTCTTTCACCATTTTGTACTATATACTATTACCCTCTACCCTTTTTATCATATGGCTTGTGGGTATCGTAAATCTTGATAAATTATTCGGTTTTTCAATTTGTTTTGGTCTTCTTTGGTTTTTCTATCATGTGGGCGACCTTAATCTGTTTAATTTTGATTTCTCTTGATCTGTTCCTGGCCTGCTATTATCAAAAGAACTGTTCTTGTGCTTAATTTACCTCTTGATCAGATCTGTTCTTCGTTTGCTTCTATTTATTACATTTGATTGCATGTATGAGTATATGATCTAATAAGACACGTTCTAGTTTTCCTGTTGGATCTCAAGAAACTTCATCTCTGCTTTAATGGCGGATTCTTTGATTAGTATTTGTTTTGAATTCCGCAAAATTGATGAGAGTTTATTTTGATTGTTGGTTTTTGGTTTGACAAAGGGCTATAAGTAGATGGTAACCATGTGGAAACTTAAAGTGTGTAATGAATCATTTTCTTGATTTAGATGGTTTGTGGTTTCAGTAGGCCTACCAACTTGTGTAATCTTGTTCTTTTAAAACAAATTTCTCTTTTCTAGTAGATCTTGATGAAAAGACTTGTAACTCTCTCTGTCCCACAAATCATTTTGTCTAGTTTCTTACAAATTTGTTTCATTTTCTTGAACAAAATCTTTTTCCTACTTGTGGAACAAGTGTCAGTGGATTCTGGGATTTGGATCACAAAGGAATTATATTGGACATGAAACCCAATTCGGATTGTAAACCAAATTCATTAGAAAACCATTATAAACCACAATTAAGACAGTTGAGAACAACAATTTTCTTATCGTATCTGTTTTTTTTTCTCAGCCTTCTTTGTATAATAAGAACCCCATCGTGGATGTATGCAAATCACTTGACTATGTAAATCCCGTGTTTGATTTTCTTTCATTTCCTAGAAGTAAATTTTGTGGGCGCGAGTAATTATCGATCCTAGTTGTAACCTTATTGTATTAACCAATTACTTTGTTATCCTTGTTAGTAATCTGAAGCAATTTTCTTGCATTCAGATGGCTTGAAAGACTCGTCCTTGTATTCAAATGGAAGCCTAGAGGCAGTCAATTCACTTGTTGTGTGCTTTGGCGAAATGTTGATCGATTTTGTGCCTTCAGTTTCTGGAGTTTCACTTGCAGAAGCACCCGACTTTCAAAAAGCTCCTGGCGGAGCTCCTGCCAACGTTGCTGTTGGTATATCAAGATTGGGAGGTTCGTCTGCTTTCATAGGCAAGGTACTCCTCAGACTCAACTTTTCAATCTAACTTCATTTGATTTGCAAATGGTATCCATAAACTTGACATTTTTAGCTTTTTTCTTAGGTGGGCGATGATGAATTTGGGCGCATGTTAGCTGACATTTTGAAGAAAAACAAAGTTAACAACTCTGGCATGCGATTTGACCAAAATGCAAGAACAGCTCTGGCGTTTGTTACTCTCAGAGCCGATGGAGAGAGGGAATTTATGTTTTTCCGTAATCCTAGTGCAGATATGCTTCTTCATGAATCAGAACTTGATGTCAATCTTATCAAGCAGGTCCACATTTATCTCTTATTTTGTAGATACATTAATTTATGGTTCTTTTAGTGCACATATAACTTTCAATTCTACAGGCAAGCATATTTCACTATGGTTCTATCAGTTTGATAGAAGAGCCATGCAAATCAACACATCTTGCTGCAATGGCGTTAGCAAAGCAATCCGGTAGCATCCTCTCTTATGATGTGAATTTGAGATTACCATTATGGCCATCAGAAGATGCGGCTCGAGAGGGCATAATGAGCATATGGGATCAAGCAGATGTCATTAAGGTGTATACTTTTGTTAAAGTTTCTGTGGGCATACAACTAAATATCAATAGTAGATCTCGTTAAGCTATACTTATGTGCAGGTAAGTGAGGATGAAATTACTTTTTTGACTGGGGGCGATGATCCTTATGATGATAAAGTGGTATTGGATAAGCTTTTTCATCCCAACCTTAAGCTTTTGCTTGTAAGTGAAGGGCCACATGGCTGCAGATATTATACACAGGCAAGGATCCCGTATCTTTCATTAGTTTGTATACCATTTTTATGTTTTGTGGGTCCCATCTCCATTGCTCCACATAAGTATTACCAAATAAAATGAAAATTTTTAAATGGCTAACAGTAACTTGTGCCATTTTGTGCAGAAATTTAAGGGTAGAGTTCCTGGTGTTAAAGTAAAGTCTGTTGATACTACAGGTGCCGGAGATGCATTTGTTGGTGGCATTTTGAGCATCTTAGCTTCGGATACGAATCTTTATAAGGTACGATTGCATATATCACGTTTGTTGGTAGAATTCTGAAAAATCTTATTATAAGAATAAATGGGACCTTTAATCATATATTCGTTTTTGAACAACTTAGCTATGAATACGAATCTTTATAGGGTACAATATATAACGTTTTGCTAAAGTTTCTTTCTTTCGCACCATTTCCAATTCGTAGGTCCCCTTTTCATTTTCTCGTGACATCAATTAAATGGGACCTATCACATCTTGAGTTCTCATGTCAGCTAACAGGACCAACATTTATGTCATTTTCATTCGCTCCCTGATTATATCTTCGGGATTCCATTTTCATTTCATCGAATAAATGGACCTGCAATTGCATTGTCATTTCTTTTCGCATCATTTGGGACCCACAAAATGATACTATGATAAGAAGTCATGTTTTTTCACATACAATCCTTTGCATGATCAATTCATCGAATTCCGTCTCTGAATCCAAAGATCTTGATTGTAATGTAGGATGAGAAGAGACTAAGGGATGCGCTTCTCTTTGCAAACGCGTGTGGGGCCTTAACCGTAACCAAGAAAGGAGCAATTCCAGCCATGCCCACGAGAGAGGAAGTTCACAAAATCCTGAAACATGAATGAGTTGATGTTTCTTATGTTGTTTTGTACCTGTTAATAAGATTAGCTCGTTTCCGCGCACCCTTTTTTTCTGGAACGGGTGGCGAAAAAAGGTTATTTGAATTGAACCCTGAAATGTATAAGTCTTATCTTCATTGGAAATTGAAGGTAGCAGTTGTAGTTGTAAACTGAAGGGGGAGTTTTGTATGTCATATTGAAGACAGCCATGGATGGAGCATGGAGTCTGTACCAGAAGTATCAACACTGTTGGTAAGGATATGTTGTTTGATCCATTTGTAGGGAACTTTTGACTGGTGAAATTGTATGGAATAAGTTTTAACAATCTTTATGGGAAAAGAAGCTTTGTATCGTGATTCGAATGTGCATTTATCGCCCAAGTGATTGCTAACGGATGTTTAAATAGGATTCGAACGTGTTTAATGTGTAATGACGATGAAACCAACAATTATGCAATCTCGATATCACAATTGTAATGTTAAATCAAATAAATGATAGTTCTACCATCGTTCTATTCGGCTATGGAGAAAATTGAAGTAGTAGAAAACAAGAACTAGGTCGAATTAATTTAAGCCATCGTCACTTGTAGACGACTTCTACGCAACTTCATAAGTAGCGTTCACGGTCACCTTTTCTTCTAAGCCATACGCACAATCAACAAGCGACTCATGGAGTTCACATGCTTCAAAGGATATGACTTATATGTGACTTCCCAAGTCGTCTATAGTTTGTATGTCTTGCATATCAAAAAATTCAACACCCCATCTTGACACCATTCGCACTACTACACATGGAACTTTTTAACATGAATTCTGGTGGATCTTCGGCCAGTAAAACATTTGCCGGTAAACACGATTTTGGCGGACTTTTTGGTGGATTGAACATTACCGGCGGATTCTATCCGACAAAAATACGCCACTGATTTTATTTAATTTTTTCAATTTTCTCAACTTAATGAATT